GCCTCTGGTTACCATTGCTTTGCCCTCAGCGTCTGAGATCAACTTTTTAAAATTCCACATGAGTGAGATCATGGGATATTTGTCAGGAAGACAGAAAGGCAGTGCGTTTTTGAACAATGAAAATACTTCATGTAACCATCCACAAGGATGTACCTTCCCTGCCTGTATGTCATTCTTTGAGAATCAAAAGGCACGACAACAAGCCAGATTCATAATGACTGCCTCCTGTGACTTTCTGGTCCCTTCTAAATGTCTCCTTTTGAAAGTGAGGAAAAATATGACCTGATGTCCTCACTTTTTATCCTATTTTATTTTTTATCCTGAAATAAGTATATTTTCCAACATTTCTCCAGCTGTCCTAAATTTCTGAATACTGAAGTACAACATAACCTGTGGATAAGTGCATGATCTCTGAAGCCGTTGTGACCCRAGCTTGAGTCTCCTTCTCTGCCATTTGCCAGTTGTGTGACCTTGGGTAGATTACTTAGCTTCTCTGTTTCARTTTCTTCTGTGTAAAAATGGAGATGATCATACAATTCCTACTTCACAGGGTGATGTATGTGCCTGTTAAGTGAGTTAACCTTCACTAAGGTAATAACAGCTCAGTATGGTTTTTTTGTTGTTGTTGTTGTTTTAGTTGTAGATGRACACAATACCTTTATTTTTGTTTATTTATTTTTATGTAGTGCTGAGGAGTAAACCCCATGCCTCACACGTGAGGGGCAAGTGCTCTACCACTGAGCCACAATCCCAGCCTCACTCAGTATGTTTTTAACTGTTGTTATTACAAATAGAAAAGAAGAAACTCTGCGGTTAAAGGTTAAATTTTCCAAGCAATACTAATCAAAACTGTAATTAGAATTATTTTATGAATTTGTGGGTACCAAAATTCATTTGGAAAAACAAACAAGTAAGACTAGTCAAGAAAACTCTCTTGAATAACAATATATGGCACAAGCTCTATCAATAGTAAGATATATTATGAAATTATAAAAAAATTTTGGTACTGGGAGAGGAACAGGCAGATCAGTGTAAAAGAGTATTGACTATAATGTAGGATGAAGTTGGCATTTAAAGAAGCACAAAGAGATGGATTATTCAAATAATATCTATGTAGCCATTTGGGAAAAAAGAAATATTGGATCTATATCTTATTTTTTATGCCAAGAAATACCATATAGGTCAATGATAAAAATAAAAATAAAACTGTTAAAGTGTGAAAATATTTTTTAAGTCTTGAATGGGGAAGACTTTTTTCAAGCAAAACCATGAAATACTAAAAGCAAACACTGAAAAATTTGACAATGTAAAAATTGAGAACTTGCTGCAAAAAAGAGTACCAGARACAATCAAAAACAGAAAAAGAGAATTCACTGCAGGATTGCAAAGAACTGATTTCCTTAACATGTAAAAGGTCTTCTAAGTCAACAAGAAAAAGACAAGACCACCATCAACCCAGTGGCAAGGTGATCACAGACAGGAAAGAAGTTCTAGGGAAAAGAAAGGTCAAGAGACAGTTGACAAAATAAGACTGTTTTCGCCYAAGAAAGACAAGTATTAAAAGTTTGCCAGTAGCTGGAGCTGGAAAATATGCAGAAGCCTGTTGGTGGTGTTCTGGTCACCTATGGCTTCCAGCAAGCTGTGCAAAATTTAAYGGTGTGAAATACTCAGTTTACCACCAACTCTGTTGACAGGAACTTGGACATAGCTGAGATGCTTCCTCTCTGCTCCGTGGTATGGTATTAGGTGGTCTAACCCAAAGGGCTAGGGAGGCCCAAAGGACTGGAGAACCCACTCCGAGCTGGCTTCGTCACAYATATGCTGGCACCTGGGCTGAATGACTGCAAGATCAGCTCCTCTGGTTCTGTCACCACCTGAATATCTTCCCCTGGGCTCTGGAGAACGGTGACTCGGGAGAGCTGGGATTTCTTACGTGGAACGGACCTCCTCGAGCAGGTCTATGCTGGAAATAGGCTAGAAGCTGCTGGATTTACATGACCTAGCCATGGAAGTCACATAGCTTCACTYCCACTGTATTGGACTGACCAAAAGAGTCGCAAGTCTATCTAGATTCAAAGGGTGGGGACAGAGTCCCTGTGCAAGCAGGGTCAGATTACATCTCCACAGTGGAAGGATAAACTGCTGCAGGGTCTTTGGAGAAAAATTCACATTATCTACTAGAACTGAATCAGCAGCTACCCCTTTGAACTCTGAGGGTCCCATGTGGACATTCCMTTGATCTCTGTTCTCTCCCCTCTCCCCCCTTAAGCTTTTCCCTACCTGGCTTCCGTCACTGTCATTGCCCCCCCCCCCCTTCTCTTTCTAGGCCTGGAATCCTCTTTGTAGAAGAATCAAGGTCTCACTTTCAGCAGCCCCAAAGTTTTCCAGGTCATGCTAATTCTTTCTTTGCAGCTCGGTTTCCACTGGTTCCATAAAAAAAAAAAAAATAGCTACTATAGAGAAAAGACTGGCTCTGGCGCCCTAGGTATTAGGGATCCAGAAAGGGGAGGGATCTGCACTGTGGACTGAGGAAATGAACACAGTTCAAAACCCCACTGACTACATAAGGGGATTCATAGTCTTCCAGTTGACTTTGACCCTGCTTCTTCTAACATTTCTTCCTACCATATTGTCTACCTATCTATGTGGGTTATGCACCTCTGCAAAGCAAGTCACTCCAAAACATGGTCAAGAATCTAGGAATTGCTAAGCTGGGTCCCCTGGCTTGGGGTCTGTCATGACACATTTTAAGGCTTGATTGGGAAGGACCAATATTGGCCAACTCACRTCTTGGTGGTAGGGCTCAGTACCTTGAGGGCTGGTGGACCTTACCTCATTTCCTTATGAGCCATTTACAGGAGGGCTCCCTCTGTTCATGTCCACATGGGACCTCCAAAAGGCCATCTCTCAACTTGGTGGCTCGCTTCATCAAGGTGAGTCAATGAGAGGGCAAGAGCTGTCACCAAGACACGTTGCTAACAAGGTGGAAGCCAGTGTTTGGTGACCTAATCATGGACCAGACCTCATGTTTCCCTCCTCTATCCCGTAGCAGTGAGTCACCACCGCCAGGCCACATGGAAGGCAAAGGATTATTACCAGAGCAGCCAGTCTGCTCTTCCCTGCCTAGGGTTCGGGTGCCTGATTCCTTGGTGGCCTACAGTGCATGCTGTCATGTCCAGGGAGCAGCAGCACCCTAAATCCAGAGATTCCTTTGACCTTTGAACGGTGACCTGTTATGGGGGAGTGGGTGGTAACTTTGGGATAAAAAAATTTCACTGTGACTCATGAGCTCTTTCTAGGAAAGATTTGGGTGCTCATACCTTTGCATAAGACCAAAAAGTTTTGTAAGTCTAAAAGTTTTTGGGAAAACTGAGAACTCTACTGGGGATACAGGAAAGGTCCTTTATGTGTCTTAGTTAGTACTATACTGCTTGATTTAAAATTGTACCATGTACCCATATTTGTTTTATATAAATTTGTAGTGCTGGGGATTGACCCTCAGGTCTCACACGTTAGGATTACTGACTGAGACATCTGATCTAGGCTTTATCTAAAGCCACACACTGGCCTCAAACCCAGTACTTTAAATACAAACTTCCAACGCCTGTTCTTCTTAGGTCTCAGGCCTATAAGGACCTCTGGGCCTATCCTTCGCCAAATGTGCGGACATTTAAAAATAGTTCCGTGCCTCATACTCAACGGGCTCTGCTTCCCCGCTGGACACCACTCCCAGCTGCTACCGGCAAGTAGCCCTCTTGCAACCCCGCGTTTTTGTTTTAAGGGGTCCTTCCACCAGCACAATTTGGATTCAACTCTTGAGTTCAGTTGTGGCCTCTCGGTGAAATGTGTCCTCGGGACTTGAGGTCAGTGAACTCCTTCAGAGAGCAGAAGGACCGGGGCTAGTCAGAGGCGGGACTCAGTAGCGGAGGGAAGCCTAGCTGTCTCACTGGCGGCCGCGGAAGACCTTTCCCACCGTGCGTAAAGAGGGAGGAGCGAAAGGCTAAGCTAGGGAGCGGAGACCGTAAAGGCAGCTGGTGGGTGGGGAGAGTGGCTGGGGTCGTGAGTCCTGCTCCCAGTTCTGTATAGTTTCAGAAACCCGGAGGCAGGCAAACAGTCGCTTGCACGCCATTCCCTACAGGGTGCTGCTCCAGTCCCCAGGAGGGACCGGGACGGAGGTGGGTACAGTCTTGGCGGTTCGCCTGCACCGAGGAGCCTGGGCCCGGGCAGGAACAGTGGTGACAACTGCCCCTCTGGGACTAAATCCCGTGCAACCCAGGGTGGTGCTGGAAGCCGCGCGAGTAGCCCGGGGAAGGGGGATTAGTGGGTCTCTGAATAGTACCACTCCCCACACGACTTTGTAGTCTCATGCTGGGCTTCAAAAAGCGACCTGCGGCGTCAGCACTACAGATCCCGGCCAGGGGCTCTTGGCGTCGCCGGTGCTCTGTCTCCCGCTCTCCTCATTTAGCTTTTCATCACAGCATCAGGGCTTGCGTCTCCCTGGTGGCGCTTCCCGCGCTCGGTTCCGCGGCGCAGCGTGGAGACCAGCTTTGGCAGTACGCCCAAGTAAGGCACAGCCCGGAGGTGGTGTGGCCCTCTGGCCACCTCTCCGCGCACCTGCCCCCAGGGCGGAGCCTGGCGGGGCGCGCCGGCGCGCAGGTCGCCGGCCCGGACGCTGGAGGGGGCTGTGGCTCTCCTGCTGTCCCCGCGGCTCGGGCTGTGGGCGCCCAGGCTCCCCCCGCGGAGGGGCCGGCCCAGGCCGGGGAGGGGCGGCGGCCGCCGGCACTTCCCGCTCGCCTGGCCTCGGAGGCGGCGGGTCCAGCGTGGGCGCAGCGGCTGCAGGCACTCGGCTCGGAGCGGGGCGGGGACGCGGCCACCGCCCGCTTTGCGCTGCTCCTCCCCGCGCGAGTGGCGCTCGGCTGGGCGTCAAGGCGGCCATGGCGACCCGGAGCCCGCTCCCCACCCACCCCGCCTGCTCCGCCCTCCCCTCCGCCCCGCGCCACCTTTGATGGCTCGGACCTCTGCCGGCCACCGCYAGCCCAGCTCGCGCGCCCGCGCCGCCGCCGCCTGCGGGTATTAATAGTCCGCGCCGCAGCCTCAGGCGCAGCCGGGAGCCGCCGCGCCCTCGCCAGCCGGGGGCTCGGGAGCTGCAGATCCCGCAGCCAGGACCGGGAGCCGCCGGAACCGCCGGCGCCGCCGAGGTAGGAGGCGCGCGGCGAACAATGACCGCGGCGGGGAGGGCGGGCGGGGGCCGGGGTGGTCCCGGCAGCGGGCGGCAACTTGTGCGAGTCCGACGCCTGCAGCGCACCGCGCCGGGGCGCGGGCGGAGGTGGGCGCGGGCCCGCGGGGTCCCSCCCGGAGGAGGCAGGCGGCCGGCCGGCCCCCGCAGCCCCGGCAACAATAGCGGGAGCTCCGGGGCCCCGGGGTCCGCGCCGCCCTCTGCTCCCTTCTCTCACCTCCGCCGATCGGGCTGCGGGGCTCGGTGCCCGTCCCCTCTCGTCTCCCCACCCCCTGCGCCCTTCCCCCGCTTCCTCCCATCCCACCCCGCCGGGTGACAGCGGCCGACGCCGCTTCCGGACCTCGGGCCGCAATCTCGGTCCCTGAGGCCGGTYGTCGGCCAGGGAGGTGGCCGGTGGCGCGGATGCCACCGCGCCACTGAGTGCCCGCAGCTCTCCCACGCGCGGCGCCAGGCTCTCGGTGGGTGACAAAGACGAACACACCCTCTGCCAAAGTTAGATTGTGTCTCATTACCGCACGCCTTTACGGAGGGCAAAGTTTGAGGTTTTCTTCTTTTAAGCAAAGGACAGATTTTGTGTGTGCGGTGAGCATTTCAAAACAACTTCTGATTGTGGTTTTATGATTAAGTTCCGGAAACTTTAGCTGTGTGATCCGGCTGAACCCGTGTGTGTGTGTGTGTGTGTGTGTGTGTGTGTGTGTGTGTGTGTTGGAGGGAGAAAATATGAGTTCCCTGTAATGGGTCTGGATTTCATTTATGGCAGCTGTAGAGCAGCGGCTGTTGGGGATTATCTTGGGTTCCCCAGAAAGGAGGGGAGGCAAGACTCACAAAGAAACGCGGACCCTGGTATCCGATGGGCTTGTGGAGATGTGGGAGCGATCGCTTCTCCTCTGGAACAATTTAACAGTCTCAGTTTCTCCCGCCCCTCCCCCTCCGTCAGCTCTGGAGTACCCGCGGCCTCAGGCTGTTTCATTTTATTATTGTTGTTAAACCTTCTTCCTTGTCAGTTTCCCAGGTTTGACTGGCTCAGCCCTGGCTCCTGCCATGGATAGATACCCCGGGGACTCCCGTCTCTTCCATCCAGCAGGCTGCGTTTCCTGAGCCAAACCCTGGCCTAGCATTTGGGTTACGTTTAATGTGCTTTGCACGTGGTGACTTGCCAAGCCCATTTCAGAACGTCCCCCAGCATTGTCTTGCTTTTCTTATTCAGTCTGAACAGGGGATGGAGAAAGAAAAGCCTTTTTGATCTTGAAAGCTTTGAGGGGGAGTTGCCTTAAAATTGTGCTGGTTTTTCGGATAAGGAAGTCTTTATCCTTGGCTCTCTTCCCTCATTCCTCTGTATGCCTGTGTGTGTCTGTGTCTGTGTGTGTGTGTGGGGGGGTATTACCCCCAGCTTTTCAGGTGGTCCCTCTTCAGGATAGACAGATCCTGACAATGCACTTCATGTGTGGATACAGCATCCACATGGCTCACTTTATATTCCTGCAGCATCGTTCTGCAGCAAGGCACCAATATTGGAGTTACTCCAAGCACAACGAAACGTTTGTGTTTTTAGAATGTCTGGCTAATAGATCTGCTTCTGGGTAAAATAAATAGAAGCATTATTGGGCAGTGGCTGGTTTACTGGGGGAAGTGCTGTGGAGATAGTGGGCGGATGCCTGCCTAGCCAGTGCCTCCCAGAGTCTCTTGTGTGGACAGGAAATTAGAAATACCTGGCGTGGAGGTAACTGTGCCGTGTGGGTTCGGATTCTAGGATGTGCCCTCCTGTGACTTGCTGTGTTCATTTAGAAGAAGTTAATGTCATTGTGGAATCCTTCTGAAGTTAGGATTACAATGCTCCTTTTCACATTGATATTCCTTTCTCTCCAATGGATGTAGGATCATATTAAAATGGGAATGCTGCTTTTTTGACCAAATATACTCAAAGAAAAATTTAAAAGAATTGCTCCTAGACAACTTTGTTGCTGGGTTATTGCAGTTATTTCAGAATTGTGCCGAGACTGTCAAGAACCTTTATATATGTGTTTGTTGTGTTTTTCATTAAATAAACTGTCCAAGGAAATTGCTTTTTAAAAAGATAAGAATTAAATATAGTATTGAAAAGGTTAGTTTTTTTTTTTTTTTTTAACAGTGTTCCTAGTCCAATATTCATGAGCACATAGGAGTTTAATTCATTTGGAAAATGAGTGGAGGAGGATACTTGCGGTAAACAACAAAAAATAACTTTTTTTTTTTCTATCCTAAAAGAGGTTAGAGAACACTAGACCAAAAAACAAGAACCTGCTTCTTACATGTTAAATACGCTCAGAAAAAATGACCTCTTGACATTCTGGGAGGATGAGGGAAACGTAATGAACTTGTAGGTACTTAGTGTTCTGATAGCTCGGTGACCTGGGCGTTTTATACAGACCTTTACAACTGGCCCCGCTTTATTGCCGAGAACAAYTTAGCATTTTAGAGGAAGGCTGTAATTGAAGATGCACAGGCAAGAGGGGCCCATGTAATCCTGTGATTCATTTTGGATCCTTTCTACCTTGGTAGACAGGCATTCCCTGCGTTGGCTACCTGCCTGGGAGAGGATAGAGGAAATCTTAGGACCTTATGTCTGTGCCTCTCTTATTGCTTTGGATTGAATGATCTCTCCAAGCTGGGCCTTTGGGTGGTAAGTGGTATATCAACTCCCTTTTCTTGGGGAGTTTATCCTGTGGCACTACTTGACCGCTGTCCTCCTGCCCTGGTTTGCCATAGTGGCATAGGTTTAGCTGTTACCTTATCAGCCTTTTCCACATAGCCAGAAAGAGCCAAAGGGTTTCTGTTCCAATGATTTGAAGCCCTAATTTGTCTAGTCCCCTTATGTCAAATGCAGCTTTGGTTTTTAGTGCAGAAGTCCTCAGACACTGTTTATGTCAATGGGGAGAAACTGCCTTTTTTTTTTTTTTTTTTTTAGTTGTAGTTGGCCACAATATCTTTATTTTATGCATTTATATGTGGTGCTGAGGATCGAACCCAGGGCCTTGCATGTGCTAGGCGAGCGCTCGCGCTCTATCCCTGAGCCACAACCCCAGCCGGAAACTGCTTTTTAATAGATACAGTTGTCCTGGTTTTAGTCAGTGAAATGTTTTGCCAAGTTGATACTTTGAGCAAAAGTGGACAGTTGATACATTATGAAAACATGTTGCTCTAAGGTTTTGATAATTATGAAATTAACCAGAGAACCATCAAGATGAGCATTGTGTTGTGTCCATCTACACCTAAAAAATAAATGTTTTTTTTTWWAAAAATGATGTGATTAACACYGAAGGTTTGCTCAGCGCTGCTTATGAACTTCCATTGTAGTTTTCTTATCTATTGAGGGATAGAAATTATAGGCAAATTGCAAGATTGGCAGTTAATGTGGGAACTCATCATTTATACTGAATTAATTTCATATATAAAGCTGTCATATCTGTATTTGTTTAAAAAAAGAAAAAGCCAAACCAGATTTAACTCTTTACCAGCAGGGTAACTTCACTTTAGGCTTAGACCTGGTGAAATGCTTTTCATAAAGATTATCTATTATCTTAAAAATCTAGTAGAATGACTTTCACAATTTTGGTCTCATCCTGAATCTAGTATAGTGCCTGGAACATAGCAAACCCTTAGTGACTAGGGTTTAGTCTTTTAATGTCCTTTCAAATGAGTCTTCAGGTTTTTAAAAAATAATTTGTGGTGCTGGGGATTGAACCCAGGGCCTTGTGCATTGTGAGGCAAGCACTCTACCAACTGAGCTATATTCCAAGCTCCAGTCTTCAGGGTTTTTAAGAGAAAGTTGATATTAGCACTGGCAGATTGAAGTTCCAGGAATTTGAAATTCTGATATTTGATTTTATTTCCATTTCATTCTAATTTAGCAGTTTGGTTCTTAAAGCTGGTGCATAATGTAAAAAGACAGATTGATTTCTCTCTCTCTTTCTCTCTCTCTCTCTCTCTCTCACACACACACACACACACACACACAGACCACAAATCAGACAAGGAGAGTGTGAAGGAGAAAGTAAAACTCACTTGAGTCCTACCACCTGTTACCCAGACCGTCCATTAAGATTTTGGCATGGGGTTTTCTAATGTCCTCATTTCTGAGCTTCCCCCAGACTCGGTGGCTTTCTGTTTTCCTAGCTCTTATCTGTATGATTCACTGGGCTCCCCATCCTTCTTCTGTACTGAGGTTTGCTTCTGGGATGGTGTCCCTTCTTTCAGAGATGCATCTTTTAGAATTCTGTTAGTGAGCATCTGTTCCTGGCACCCTAGTTCTGCTGTGCTTTATCTTGACTTCTGAATGATGGGTCACCTCAGTTGGCGGTTCTGGGTGGTGGCTCCTGTCTTACTGCTCTCATGTGGTCCCGTGGCAGGGGCTGGCTGTTGTTGGTAAAGTCAGTCTTTGCTCTCTGGCTGCTTTGAAGATTCTTGGGTGCTCTGCAGTTCAACATACTGTGTCTGGGTCTACTTCTTTTCTCCTTTTCTTTCCCCCTCCCTCTCCCTCCCTTCTCCCGTTCCCGTCTTCTTATCAGTTCCTTTCTGTTCTTCAGTCCTGTTCTGGTGTCTGGAGAGGGTGGTTTGTCCATTCCTCCTTGGCCACCGAGTTGTTTTTGGTTTGGGTTAAGTGGATAAAGCTACGACCGGCCTATGTGAACAAGGCTTTGAGTGGAGGTCTGTTCCATTTTTCTTACTGCTTCTTCTGATGACTGTATGTTTAGTTCCTATCTGTTTTTCCAAAGGAGTTCCCTGTTTGAGATTCCCACCAGAAATGTATGAGACTCCCAGTGACTGATCCTCGCCAACACTTGAAATTGTCAGTCTTTTCCCTTTTAGCCATTTAGGTGGATATATAATGATATCTCATTGTGTGTGGGGTTGTGTGTGGGTGTGTGTGTTTTAAATGTTTTCCTGATGGCTAGTAATAACTTTTCATGTTTTTACTGATTAATT